CTCTGAGGAGGAAAGAGCCAGCCTGTGCCGGGAAGGCGGCCAGAGCTTGAGGGGGAGCTCTGACCTGGTGGTCCCTGAGCAGCCTCCCAGCAGGGTGAAGCCATTCAAGTGTTTAGAATGTGGGAAGAGCTTCAGGAAGAGCACTGCCCTCCTCAGCCACCAGCACATCCACACTGGGGAACGTCCCTACACATGTAGGGAATGTGGGAAGAGCTTCAGTGACAGGTCCACCCTCAGCACCCACCAGCACATCCACACTGGGGAACGGCCCTACCCGTGTGGGGAATGTGGGAAGAGCTTCAGTGACAGCTCTACCCTCCGCACCCACCAGCACATCCACACTGGGGAACGGCCCTACAGGTGTAGGGAATGTGGGAAGAGCTTCAGGCGGAGCTCCAACCTTCACACGCACCAGCGCATCCACACTGGGGAACGGCCCTACATGTGTAGGGAATGTGGGAAGAGCTTCAGGGATCGCTCCAACCTCCGCACCCACCAGCACATCCACACTGGGGAACGGCCCTACACGTGTGGGGAATGTGGGAAGAGCTTCAGCCAGAGGTCCCACCTCCACACCCACCAGCTCATCCACACCGGGGAACGGCCCTACAAGTGCTTGGAATGTGGGAAGAGGTTTCACAGCAGCTCCAATGTCCTGAAGCACCAGCAGACGCACACGGATGAGAGGCCCTTCCGCTGCACCGACTGTGGGAAGGGCTTCAACCGGAACGGCAACCTCGTCACCCACCGGCGCATCCACACTGGAGAGAGGCCCTACAAGTGTGGGGAGTGTGGGAAGAGCTTCACCTGGAGCTCTAATTTGGCCAAACACCAACGGACCCACCGGTAAGGGGGAACAATTGCTTTAGTGTAGAGCACTGTCCTATCTTATGTTGTACTACTGATAGTTTTAGTGTGTATTTTGTGCAGTAAATAATTTTGATGAAGATCTTTTGTCTGATCATTTGTAACCCTAAATAATTCATTTGTATCAATAGATCTGACTTGCCATGATTAAAACCTGGGAAACAAAAGTGGTTCAGTCACACCTCTGTAATTCCCCTAAACTTAAAATGTTGGCATGATCGAAGGCTGAGATTGGATCCAGCAGCCCCCAGCACCCCACAGGAAGTTGGGAGCTCAGGGGGACCACCCCCCTTTGCCAACCCCCCTGTGCCCAAAGACCCCTATGGGACCATCAGACCGGTCAGACCACCCCCCCTTTTCCACCCTTCTCCCTATTTCTCCCACTTTTTCATTGTCCCCTCAATCCCCATTTTTCCCCCCCGAATGGTTTAGGGGTCCGAACCCCCACATTTTGCCCCATCTCCTGTGGATGCTGAAGGAGAAAATGAGGCTGCACACACAGAGTTCCATTGCAGGACTTGTCCACCCATCTTTCCGGCGTCCCCCTTTCATTGGGGTTCCTTTGGAAACAGCACCTGGGCTTTGTCTTTTAGTCCACCAGAATTCCCAGCATGGCCCCAAAGCAGTGCCCTGATCCCACACATTCCCCTCTCCTCATGTGCTGGCTGTGTTCAACTACCAGAGAAAAACACAGAGAAAAAACCATGCAGAGCGTTCCAAGTGGTTTCCACTTTGGCAAACAGCACTCTCTGGATGGAAAACACCAGTCAAGGCCAAAACACTCTTTGTTGATCCTGATTAACTCAGTGCAGCTGCTGCTGCCTTAACTTGTTCCCACAGACATTTTCAGGGTTCCTTTGCTTCCAGGAGGCCCCACATGATTCCATGAGTTTCCACAGTCTCCAAAGGTCCTTTAGTTCCATGAGGCCCTGCAGTCCCCAAATGCCCTTTGGATTCCAGGAGATTTCCCATTGTCCCAGGGTCCCTCGTGCTTCAGGAGGAGCTGCAGTGGGACAGTGGCCCCTTGGTTCCGTGAGCTCTGCAGTGTTCCAGGAATCCTTAGGTTCCAGGAGAGCCTGCAGTTTCACAAGGACCACTTGAATGCAGGAGGTTCTGCAGGGTCCCAATGGCCCCTGGATTCTAGGAGGTTCAGAAATATCTCCGGGCTCCCTTGGTTCCAGGAGGACACGCATGTCAGCAGGAACCCTTGGTTCCAGGAGGTTCGACAGTGTCCCAGAATTCCTTTGATTTCATGAGGCCCTGGATTGTCCCAATGGCCTCCTGATTCCATCAGCCCCCTCA